GAATTGGATTTGACCTTAAAGTGTCATATTGTTATAGCTTGCCTAGCTCTGGGTTTGCATTGCCTGGGGCAATTAATAAAGCATTAATGACAAGACCCATTTAAAATGTAGGCTTTTCTGTAGAGCTTTAGCTTTTACTTGACTGTGCCTCAGGATATTATGCAACAATACACATTAGATTAAGCCAACATCTACACAATATACAGAAACAGCCGGAGAGCAGAGTAATTTTGCTGTTGTTATTACTTACCTATTGTTAAATACAAAGGGTTATTGTACATATACATGGGATGTTATGAAAAAGAAAACAATATCTTGTCATATTTTGAACAATATGATTTTTTCCTGATTCTCATTTCTGTAGTAATAAGGTTGCCTTCAAAGTCTGAAGTGTCCAATAAGAACTGTGCATTCTTCTCTTGTTTAAAAAGATAGTTTTAAAATAAGTGTATATTGTTCTATTCCTGTCACACACATTATTAAATATCAGAAGCAAGGGAACATTACCATAAGCATCTGATTTGATCTGACCAAAAAAAGAACCAATAAAGTTTCTCTTCTGTTTTTAGTCGGGACTCTCTTTCTGCCTTAATATTATAGGAGTGTGTGCAATCTCTACCTGCTCTTTGTTCTGTAGCTTCTTGATAAAACAGCATTCTTTATGGACTGGATTTCCATCCTAACCTGTGGCAGGAAATAATTTTTTTAAAGGAAGAAATACTAAACTAATTAGTTTCCTCTACTACACTGTAATTATGTGGGTTCCACTGGAACTCAGTGAAATTGTACATCTTCTCCCAGTTACACTTACAGTGACAAAGAATGGAGTGAAGTGCTGATTGGACAGGTAAAGGTACACACATCAGCTTCTGATGTATGTAATATAGGGTTTTCTTCACATCTGAAATGTCTTCAAGTTTTGATTTTTACTTTTTACCTAAACCTAGTCTACTTTGACTGAGTCTTTAAATATGTCACTTTGCAGTCACATTCCTTATCTTCTGTCAATAATCTTGGGCAAGTGATATGGTTTCTTTGCTTGAGTTTCCCTTCCAGTGATTGTGGCTCTTGCAATGACTTGGAGACCTGAAAAATGTTGCAGTTAGAAGTACAGAAAAAAGTGGTGCTCTGAAATATTCATTATTACCTGCCTATTAATTTGATGACTACCATAATTAAATCGATGTTGGTATCCTATTGACAGCAGGAGCAGTGTATAGAATTTAATTTGACATCTCACCTACTCACTTTCCTTTTAGTTATCTATTCAGAAAGTTCAAGGAAAAGATTTGTTCTGCTTTGAGATGAAGATTATTTCACAGTGTTTCAGAGACTACTGTGGTGGAGAGCCACTGAAGTTATTCAGTCTTTTCCAGTCTGGCTATCACCCAGCTATGGAAGATATCCTTCCTTAAGACTATCATAGAGCAAATGATTCCCATAATGTCAGCACCATATAATGGGTTTGCATTGCACATAATGCTCATGAGGCTAAGTCTAGGACTTTGGCATGTGGCAAGAGTTGCCTGGCTGCCCCAAAATACATTTCTGCAGTTGTACATTACATCTGGCATGTGAAGCCCTAACAGTTTTTACGTGAGTAGCAAGAATTCTGATTTTCTAACATATAGAAAACATAATGCAGCTGCAGAAGAGTGTGTGTTTGTTTGTTTGTTTGTTTACCACCTAAAATTTCATGGACTCACACAGAAATGTATCTGTGCAATTTTCAAATGAAAGACAAATGGAAATTATATGAATAAAATCTCATTAATGTTTTGAAAATACAATGTTTTGCATTCCATTTTTCATTCTACTATTAATTCTTTATTTAGTTTCCAGTAACTTTTACAAATAAGCTAGTTATTATACCAGCTTTATGAAAAAGTAGTATTAATGCTTATGCCAAATAGTTCTTGTATACTTTTGCTACATTTTGGAAAACATATTTATGTATTATAAAATTATATATATATATAATATGTATAAATAACATTCCTTGTTAAATAATGTTCAGCATTCACTTCTGGAGGAGGAAGCCTGAAGACTGTCCAGATCAACAGGTTACAAGCCTAGCAGTCTAACAGGCTAACATACCAGTGTATCAGAGTTCCACCTGATGTGCTCTGTTTTTCTTCCAGCTCTGTGACATATACCTCATGTTTATAAAGAAGAGGTGTTTTTATATTTTATATACATACTGGGTAATATAATTCTTCAGTGTTTACATTGCTGGGGTATTCATTACTAGAAATATGTACACAAACTTGAGGGCGTTCTAGGAAGAACAGCAAAAACAAAAGGAGCTGGATAGGTTGATTACAGGAGAAGATAAAAATAAATGTGTATGCTCTGGCTAAGTGCTATCCAAAAAGAAGGATGTGATATGGTATACCAATACTCTGAGAGAGGGAGGAATTGTTTATCACAGAGCAAAGAGATACAGCTAAGAATAATTAGATGAAAATTTAAAAAGGATAATTTAGGCAATGTAACGTGAAAACTTACTGAGCAGGGACATTTGTTTGGTTGTAGATCAGTTTCTCAAGGAAAGCAGAAAAACTTCTTACTTAGGATTCTTATAGGTAGAATGCAAAGCACTAGAAAGTATATAGTAGGGACAATCATGAATTGGCAAGAGGATGAACTAGTTGACCCTCTAGGCCCTTTTCATCGCTAAAGTCTTGTGTTTCTTAGTGATAAATCAAGAATGGGTATAGCAGCTAATTGTTGCTGTTGTTTGTAGCTTAAGATACTAATGAACTACATTTCTCAGTGCCATGACATCAGGGCCAACTTCTCCCTGAGGCCTTTAAAGTTCATTCTACAAGATGAAAGGAAAAGAAACTATTCTTAATTCTAGAAATACCCCATCTCTTGAGATCTAATGTGCTGCTACTTGGAATACTTAATATACTTTTGCCCATTTGGATCACATACTCTTGCAAGATTCTTAATATAGATTGTTAGCACTGTTGTAACATTCTGACAATGCTGATTTTAGTCTTTAAACATTGGATAGGGTTACATTTGAAGAGTCTATTTTGAAAGAAAACTAAATTAAATAAGAATTGGAGATCCATATTTAGCTACCTGATAAATTCTAATCCATATATGATAAATCTGAAAGTAATTGAAACGAAAGTGAGAGCAACTAGATATAAAGATAGATTACCTACCTAATGGATAGGAGAGAGACTACTTAATGAATAATTACAATGGTAAAGATCACAGAGTCCTTAAAAATAAAGTGTAACAGCCTTAAAATTTAATAGAATTATGTGCTGTATATATTGTACATATATTCAGTAAAATACCTGGACGTCCTTAATTTTTTTTGTTGGTCTAATGAAAGACCTGGATCTTGAAATAAGTTATGATAGAAAAGCAAACTTTGAATTAAAACTGTTTTGATAGTATTTTGAGGTTTATTTTAAGAGAGAAAATGAATCAGCTAATCTTTTTATTTTTGAATTTTGGTTTGTAATATTAAATTCTTAAGCAGCAGAAACAAACACCACAGCATTACTCTCCTCAGTTGTTTCACCTCCAGCCTTAATATGTCTTCTAAAAAAACTCAGTTTTTTAGTATACTATTAAAATAATGAAAAACAGGCAGCTAGTATTTGCATGTATTATTTTGAAAGACTGTAGTTGTCTTCCTCTCCCTCTCAATCTCTGCCCACCCTCCCCCCCCTTTCTCTCTGTGTGCATGTGCGTACATGTGCATTCAGTGTCTTCACAAGCTAAAATGTTTCACATTTAGATAATAAGGTTGTGGTAATCTGAGCCATCCAAAAAAGCATGCAGTAATTTCCATTTAATGCTACCTCACAGATCATGGCATAGGGTACAACATCTTTGAAAAACATAATCAGGGAATTATGTGCAATGGATGATTAAAGATTTACTTACATGTTTTTGTTCAGTATTTTTATGCTGTTTGGGTTCATTTTCAAAGAGACTCATTCACCTGTATTGAATAGAACCGAATTAATACAGTATGTGCTATATTAGCATGGTAACACACAAGGGAGAACCTGGATAAAATAGTTTATTTTATTGTGTCTCCCTTTATTAATGTCGACCTTCTCCTGTGATAATCAGTACAAGCTGGAAGAAGAATGACTGTTAGTAGGGTGACCTTTCAGGAAACAAGTCACCCGGAAATGACCATAACTTGGCCAGTCAGCTTTCACATCTTTTTCCCCCACTCCTTCCACTCCCCCTCCAGTTTTTGGTAACATTGACATCTAAAGAATCTGCTGTTCAGGCACTAATCTTTCCTAATGCCTCTCAAACTTGTTATGTTACTTTTTGAATGGAGCATGTAGATGTCAGAAAAGGTAGCTATGACATAGTGTCATTAAGGTGACATAGTGTAAATTAATACAGTTAATGGAGGTACTCATGACTGACTCAGTGATCCAATATGAGGCTTTTATGGAATTAATGGATACCAGGGGATCAACCTTTTGGGGGAAAAAAGAAAGAAAGAAAAAACAAGAAATGGCAGCTTTAAAACCTTGCAAGTAAATTATATTAGAAAAGTGAAAACGTCTGTGTTGGATTTGATTTCACTGGGAGACCATAAAATGGTATATTCTTAGCAAAACATA